GGCCCGCATTCCGAGGCCCCCAACCGGTGGCCCTGACCCTGGAGGCCGCTGTCACTCAGCCGCTTTCTTCTCCCACCCGGGTGGTCCCAGGACTGAGGCAACAATGCCCAGCTCTGTGTGGCCTCGGGGAGCAGAGCAGTTGGAAGGTGTCACGCGGAGGGCAGGCTCCGAATGAATAAACGGATGGAGGAAGAAAGGGAGAAGGACGCTGATGTGCAGTGTTTCTAACCGGGAAAATGAGAAACGCGATGTCCCTGCAATACGTGAGCGATAGGGGCCCCCTGGGGGAGCCCGGGGCTCAGCTCGGGGTGTTTCGTGGAGAAACGCCCACCCCACCCCACCCCACCCCAAAGCTAGTAGGAACCGAACGTGCTCTTAACACTGGATGATATCCAGTACATCATCGTGCAAATCGCTTCAATACGCGAGAATCTCCTACACCATTACCATTGGTCCGTGTGCCGGACTGGGGTGGTTTGCAAGTTACAAGTATACCACCAGTATTTCCAATACCAGGTTTCAACCCTGCTTCCAGACTAAGACAGACTAGGAAGAAAGGCTAGGGATCGCTATCTGAAAATTAGCCAGTGAAATTCCGATGGATCACAACAGAATATTTTCCCATATCATTCTGGAAGATGAGCATGTAGGTTGGAAAGCTCTTAAAATACACTGTAGCGGCAACCACGTTCTCAGGAATGCCGAAGGTTGTGAGGATGGAGCGGGGCTTATGTATGGGATTGCCATGGGTGAGGGCCAACGCAACATCAACCTACAACATGTCCCCCAATATTGCATAGGTCCTCGGTGTCCTTATTTGTTGTAGTTGGGTCCTGTGTAATCATTTCCACCTCGTAGCAACTCTGTGGGCAACAGAGTGAAACATTGTCCAGTCCTGAGCCAGCCTCACAATTGTTCTTGTGGTTGACCTACCGTGGCAGTCATTGTGCCAATCCTTCTTGTCCAGGGGCTTCCTCTTTTTCTCAGCCTATCTTCCTTCCCCGGGGACAGGTCTGTCATGTGTCCAAATCTCACCATTCTTGCTTCTAAGGAGCATTCTGGCTGCACTTCTTCCAAGACAGATGTGGTTGTTCTTCTGCCCTCCATGGCACTTGGGTCCTCAGAGCGGCACCCTTGCTTTTCAACACTTTTTTTTTTTTTAATACCCAATTATTTCTTTCTTTTTTTTTTTTTTTTACATTTTATTAGGGGCTCATACAACTGTTATCCCAATCCATAAACACATCAATTGTGTAAAGCG